GTAAAGGCTAAAGGTAGAAGACACTAGGTAAAGGCTAAAGGTAGAAGGCACTAGGTAAAGGCTAAAGGTAGAAGACACTAGGTAAAGGCTAAAGGTAGAAGACACTAGGTGAAAGCTAAAGGTAGAAGGCACTAGGTAAAGGCTAAAGGTAGAAGACACTATGTAAAGGCTAAAGGTAGAAGACACTATGTAAAGGCTAAAGGTAGAAGACACTAGGTGAAGTCTAAAGGTAGAAGACACTAGGTAAAGGCTAAAGGTAGAAGACACTAGGTGAAGTCTAAAGGTAGAAGACACTATGTAAAGGCTAAAGGTAGAAGACACTAGGTGAAGTCTAAAGGTAGAAGGCACTATGTAAAGGCTAAAGGTAGAAGACACTAGGTGAAAGCTAAAGGTAGAAGACACTATGTAAAGGCTAAAGGTAGAAGACACTATGTAAAGGCTAAAGGTAGAAGACACTATGTAAAGGCTAAAGGTAGAAGGCACTAAGTGAGGGCTAAAGGTAGAAGACACTAGGTAAAGGCTAAAGGTAGGGCAGGAAGACAATAAAACCAGTAGCTGACTTTTTTTGAACAACATACAGAAATCTCTCTGTTTCTATGTGGAAATGTTTGTAAATAAAGCGGAATATTTAGAAAAGTATAAAAGTTATAAAGTCTCAGCACGGTGTCCGGACCGAGCCGAACTCCATCAGAACAGAGTCCAAATGAAGCTCTGGGTGCAGAAACCAGAACCAGACAGCAGAGGAAGCTGTTCCTCCTTCACCTCCATGAGTCTTTGGAGCTACTCGTTATGAAAAGTAAAATTAAAAACTCCAGAACAAGTTGAAGGTTAATCTTTCTTAAAGTTCGTCACAGAAACATAGAATTATTTCAAAGTGAGATTACACAGATTATTTTCTGGTTCAAGACGTCCATCTGGTTCTTCTCTGGTCGGGCTGAAGAGCCCGGGGAACGAAAAGGCCCAAACACAAAAGTCTGAGCGAAACGCAGTAAACAAATATGAATACTTCCAAGAAAGTACAAGTACTTGTTAAAACACCCAAACACAAGACATCTGAGCAAAACACAGTAAACAAATATGTCCACTAAAGTACAAGTACTCACTGACATTTTCAATTAAACGTAAAACAAAGACGTGAACTTGGATGTCTCAGAAAATTAATCCAGGGTTCTGCTGAACAAATGAGAATAAAACAAAATAAAATTCATCTTCAGTTTTATTTAATTATTGTTTATTTATTTGTTCTCTGTGCACAAAAGGTCGTTTTTCTCAGAATATCACTGCGTCTGATCAAAACTGACTCCTCCTCAAACTGAAACAAACAACAGAGCAGAGCGGAAACGTAAAATACTTTTACTGAGCTTTATAGGTAAAAGTACACGGTCCGGCTCAAAGTAATAGTATTAAAACAGTCGGGTCGGTTCTTTTCATTGCACCGTGAAAAGGACAAGGGATCCAGGTGTTTACATCTGGATCTGATGCACAACTTAGAAGAGAGTAATGTTTGTAACAGAACAGCTAAACTTTAGCTGAGCAGAAGCACTGGAACTGATTGACCCTCCTGCTGCCCTTGGGTCAAAACGGCCCCTTGAAGCTTCATCTTGATCTTCAGTTTTTGGTTCTTGTCCGTTTAGTAAACTCCCGTTCTCACTGAGTTTTTATTTTCTGCTGTAGCTTCTGTCCTTCTGTTGGGAAGTCTTCTGTGAAGACCAGAAGACTTCACTCCTGTCCTCTGGAGGCCACCAGCGGTTGCTTTAGGACAGTCGTGTCCCACCCTGGTCCTGGAGGACCGCTGTCCTGCATGTTTTAGTCGTTCCTGTTTTGAAGCACCAACGAGTGACAAACAGGCTTCTGCAGAACCTGAAGACCTGCTGAGGAGCAGAGGAACAGCTAAAACATGCAGGACAGGGGTCCTCGAGGACCAGGACTGGACAAACCTGTTTCAGGCTTTTCCTTCAAAGCCCACACGATGTCCTCCTCTGTCTTCCTGTCGGACATGTGACAGCACCGGTGCTTTCCTTCTTTAAGGCTGCAGCTCTACCAACACGATGTCTTCTAAGTTGTGCATCAGATCCAGATGTAAACACCTGGATCTCTCGTCTTTATTCATCATTTGGTGTCAAATTTAAGAACCTCACCACCAAACCCTCTCGTTTCTGACTCTGGTGGAGAGGAATGAACATAAAAGTCTTTTGTTTTGGACAGAGGGACAAATAAAGCACTTCAGACTAAAGAAAATGTTTACTGCCGCCCCGTAACGTCCTCCGATTGTCTGAAGTCTTTTGGGAGACGAGTGAAAGCTGACGTGATGTAACAAATCTCCCTGAGGTAAAACAACCCGAGCGGCTGAACTCGGACGAACCCGCCGCAGCACGGAGCGACTTCTGAGGCACCTCCAGGACGGAGGAGGCGACTCCAGCCGGGGATCCGTTACATAAGGAGAACTAAAACAAACACGGAGCCAGCTCCTCTCCTGAAGGCACGTGTGTCGTTGTGCAACGGTTCGCAGCTCGAGAGTCTTTGGTCACGTCTGGGGGTTCTGTTTGTGCAGTGGAGGTGCTGGTTGCACTTTACAGGATTCCCCGCGAACTCCAGAGGGGCAGAAACGCTTCAGTCCGTTTACAGAATCAGGAAATTCTCTGGCTGGTGGTGGCCGGTGCCCCCGCCGACCTCGACCTTGTGCTCAGAGTGGGGGAAGCTGTGCACCCCTCCTCCTCTGGTGAGCACCATCAGGGTGTCCGCCGACATGTCTCCAAACTCGAAGACAAACGTCCCGTAAAACAGCATGATGATCATGCAGTAGACCCACTCGAAGATGGCGGAGGTGTGCTGCAGGGCGAAGCTCTCCTGGCAAAAAAAGACTCCACCTGGTGAGCAGCGGTTAAAGAGAAAAACAGCTGGACAGGAGAGGAACACATCGCTTCTTCTGTGACACAAGAATTAACGTTTATAACTTTAGTTCATAAAATGAGGTACCATGATGTTTACCGGTATTCACCTAAAACAGCCGAGCAGGAGAAAGATTCTTAACTGAACTGTTTCTTTTATTATCTTTTAATCGTGTATTTGTAAATCTGATTAGTCTCCAGCAGGAGGCGATGTAAAATGTTTTTGATTGCTTCTAAAGACTGAAGTCTTATTTCCACCTGTCACAACTAATATTTAGTAAACAAATATAGAAGTGGATGAAGAACTGAAAAAAACATTTTGATCTATTGGGGCTCATTTGTGGAAACCAAGAAGTTAAAAAAAAATGCTAAAACAAATAAACATTCACCAACAAGCTAAAAATGAGCATATGTTTCTGCTAATTAAACAGCTGTTATACAGCTGATGAGCTGTTGACATGAACTGTTTTGTTAACAGTCAAGTGGCTATATTTTGTTGCATACGCTAGCAAAATTAGCTGCTAGTAGGCTAACAATTAGCATACATTTTGTATGTTAGGCTAGTTAAGTAAAATACGGCAGCGCGGTTAATTGCTCCATTAACAAATAAGTAAATGTATTTTGTTAATTATGCTAGCATTGTTAGCAAAATACAGCTAATTAGCTACTGACATGAACTCTTTGGATAAGTCAAGCAGCTGCACTCTGATTAATAAGTTAGCATAAATAGTTGCTAGCATGCTAACAATTAGCACATTTTGTTAGGCTAGCAAGTGTGGCAAACAATGGCGGTGTGGCTAACTGGTCCAATCTTAGCCAAACAAATGGATTTTGTTAAATTACCTAGCAGAATTAGATGCTAAAATGCTAATGGGTAAGATATATTTTGCTAATTGTGCTAGCATCTTTAGTAAAATTCAGCAACTTAGCTTTTGACCTGAACTCTTTTATTAACAGTCAAGCGGCTGTTAAATAAAGGAGCATATTTATTAATTCAACCTTTATTTAAACAGGTTAATCCCAGGAACATATTTAGCTGCTAGCATGCTAACATTTCACACCTATTTTGTTATTTACACCAGCAAGTTTAACAAAATACGGCAGTGTGGCTAACTCTGCACCATTAACAGCCAAGCAGTTGTATTTTGTTAACAAGCTAGCCAAGTGGGTAACATGTATTTAGTTAAATATGCTAACAAGTTTAGCCCAATACAGCAGCTTGGCTGTTGACATGAACTTTAGTTAATAGCAAAGCAGGTGTATTTTGCTAGATGAGATAGCATAATTAGCGGTTATGCTAAAATATAGCAAGGATACTAAGCACCAGAGCGATCAGCGCCAACAGTGCCATCGCCACTCTGAAGTGACCGATCCAGTACTCCTCCTGGGTTTTTGCAAGTTTGTACGTCAGTGCCGACTGGAGACACACAAACAACATGCTGGATGGGAAGGCCACTCCGGCTCCGACGTAGTGGAGGACTTTGGCGAAATCCACCTGAAAACCAAAACAAAGGAGCACACACGATAAGACAGTAACTCAGCTGTAAACATGAGAATGAATACAGGCCCCGTTTAAACAGGCTAACATGTAGCCGAGAAAACCTGGTCACAAAGAGTTAAGGTCACGTTTCTCTAAAGTTGTCAAACTAAATGTAGCTTCAAAACAGCAACAACTTTTAGTTGTTAAAAATGCCGGAATGATGTGAAAATACTTCAAGATGATAGCCTCAGAAAAGTTTATAACCGTTTAAACAGCATTAGCCGATATGCTAACTATTAGCACTGGTTTTGATTTTTTTTTTGGTACTTATGCTACGATGTTTATCTTAGTGCAGCTGCTTTGCTTTTGACAGGAACCATGTTGTGTTAACATCCAACCAGCTGTATGTTGGTAAGCTAACCCAATTAGCTGCTAGCATGCTTAACTTATTTGTAGTCATTAGGCTAGGGTGTCAAAAAAAGAAAAGCAGCTGTGACTGTTGACATGAATTTGTTCTGTAACGGTCATTCACCTGTGTTTTGTAAATGAGCTAGCAAAATGAGCTACTGATATGCTAATAGCATGCATTTTACAAGTTTTGTGGCTGATGACATGACTGTTCTGTTAACAGTCAACCACCTGCATTTTGGTACGTGAGCTAGCAAGTTTGTCTGCCAACATGCTAATGGTTAGTATGCATCATGCTAGTTATGCTAACATGTTTGGCTAAAAACAGCTGATTTATGCTACTGACAAAATCCTGATGTGTAAACAACCAGTTAGCTATATTCTGCTAAAAAGATAGCATAATTAGCTGCTAACTTGTAATGGTTAGCATGTATATTGTTAATTATGCTACCATGTTTAGCTATACTGTACAACTAATAAATGCTGTTGACATGAACCTTGTTGTGTTAACAACTATGTAGATACACATTTGCAAAACAAGCTAGCATAATTAGCTGCTATCATGTAAAGGTTAGTCAGTATTTTGCTAGTTATGCTAGCATGTTTGGCTACAAACAGCTGATAAATGCTGTTGACACAAACTTGGTTGTGTTACCAACCAAGACGTTGTGTCATTAGCTGCTAACGTGATAGTTAACGTGTAATTTACAGCTACATGTCTGCTGACATGTCTTGTGGAACAGAGATAACGCTATTGATCTGCAACTGATTAATGGCCGTCTTTCAAAACTCGCTGATAAAAGTCTGTTTCCAAGCCCTCAAAATCCAATTTACACTTTGCCTTTCAGTCACTAGGTAAACAGACAAAGAAGCAAATAATCTCTTTTTGTAATTAGGTCAAGAAAACAATTTGCAGCTTAGCATAATTTGTTCAGGGAACAAACGTTCGCAGGTTATCCTGACACTGCACTTCGGCGGACAAAGAGCTCTGAAGGACAGAACGAGACGATCTGAAGCAGAGAATGGTAATGACGATGATTTACAGCAGGAACTGGTTTGCCTCCATCGTTACCTCTGATCAGAGATGACACGTGTCAGCTTGAACTCACAAACATAAAATGACCTGCTTTCACCAGCTCCGTGTCTCAGACAGGGGACAGTTCGTGCACTTATAATATCAGTAACTGCAGCGACTGGTTTATGATGACATGAGCTAAAGGAACACAGCATTAAGCAGCTTAATGAGAGAAGAAGCAACCCTGTGGATGGATATCTGAAGGAGCTCACGTTTATAAAACTCAACCATGATTGTTGGAAAACTGCACGTGTGTCCGAACAGACCCACGAATCAGCTCGACTACAGCTGCAGAGCGGTGCAGAAAACAGGTTCACGTGAAGAGGTTTTAAACTACACTAAAACAACTGTGGTTGGATTAAATGTCTCTGCTCAAAGAAATAAAATGTTAAAAACACAGCTTTACCTGGAAGACAACCAGAAAAAAAGCTAATCTGTCAAAAAGCAAATCTTTAAATGAAATTTCAGCATGAATTATAAATATTTTATCATTAAACGACGTCTAGGAGTAAAAATACGTGAGTGACTTTTGTTTTCTGTAACTTTTATTCTTATCAAAATATTTAAACTTATTAACAGTTTCCCCATAAAGATACGTTAGGATTTTTTCATGTATTATCTTTAAACTTTACTTCAGCATTTTGGCCTATTTATGCTGCTTTTAGCTTTTAGCTAGGGATTTGCTACTTTAAGCCAGTGTCTTCCTACTTATATTGTTCAGCTAGCATGTTACCTTTTTAAGCTAGTCTTTTGCTACTTTACTTTAAGCTAGGGATTTTCTACTTTAAGCTAGCGTTATGCTAATTTTATGTTTAGGTAGCATTTTTCTACTTTAGCTTTTACATTGGGATTTGCTACTTTTAACTACTGTTTTACATCTTACAACGTTTAGCTAGTGTTTCACTACTTTAAGCTAGTGTTTTGCTACTTTTTAGCTTGTAGTTAAAGTTTCT